GCAAATTCCTAAGACTATGGGTCTGTAATGATGCTGATGCCATAAAAATAATCAGATTTCAGCGCTGAATGTGGGCTCTTTCAGCAACAAAGATTAAATGTTCTATGCACAGCAAGAGCTCCCTTAAGCACTATTAATATCACTGTGACAATCATTTAGAGATTAATAATCACCATACTTAGGTTGTTTTTCCAAGGCACCAAGAGGCTCAGAGACTCCAATACTTTTAATATCTCAAGAGGGCCCCGTGTGGTTATTGGAGGGACACTGCTTTGTTCAGGCCCCAGGGAGCCTGGGAGTTTGTAAGTGAATCAGCTCGGTACTTAATTATCCTCTGAGCGAATAACATGCTTCCCTGAGATCTTTCCCTTTGCCCCCCTGGCTCGCTGCTCCTGATCTGTTTCTCACTCCCCACTGTTAGAGCACACCATAGAAGGCATAGGAGGCAGAGGCAGGGGAGGGTCTGCCCGGTTTTGCCTCCTCATTGAGAGACTGTTTGGGGAGAGGATGTGGTGGTGATCTAGCCGCAATAGTGTTCAACTCATCCATCGATGGCTGCGGTTGCTTCACCTGATCGGGCTCATTGTGTGGATGCCTTCCCTCTGTTTGTCTTATTTCCACTCTGCTAATCTCTGATTGCGAAGGAGGTGTCCTTCCAGAGAGAGAAGACTCTGGAAGGCCAGTGAGTAGGTCTCTGGGGCTGGCCGGCTGCTGTAGGGACTAGAAAGGTAAGAGTTAACAGTATCTCTCCGCTCTAAGGAGAGGCTTAAATGGAAGATTTTCAACCTTATGTTGGCCAGTGGGTGACCTCCACTCACAGCTAGAGAAACTGCTCAGAGGTAAGGTGGTGGTAGCGGGCCGTGTCGTGTCTGGAAGAGACGCAGGCCAGGCTTTGGCAGCTCTGTGACAGATTCATAGCAGAACGTCCAGAGCCACGGAACTGACCACCCTGGTTAGTACAATGATGGGCGGTACAGAATCTGCCCTCTCTCCTCAGATGGGGCCAGTCCCAGACCTACTTTATAGACCTGAGCAATTTTGGGTTCTCTGAGAGTATTTTGAATGTCACCCTTCTGTTGTAGGCAGATGGCTTTTAATTGCAAGTGACAGAGTCCACTTTGAACGAGCCTTGGTATGACTCGGGTTCCAAGAGGGAATGAGGCATGTATGATTTTAGGGGTTCAGAATCTCTCATCAGGATTCTGTCTTTTGCTCTGTCTCTTTTGGGTTTCATTCTCAGACAGGCTATCTCCAGGGCAGATGACCCTATAGCAAGCACCCCAGGCTTATTTTTATACCCACATCTCAGAAGCAGAAAAATTCTGTTTTTCTACTCAATTTTTGAGAAATGCCTCTGGTAGGCCCTACCTCATAGTTCTTTAGAGCTGGGAGTGCCTCCACTGGCCAGCCTGGCTCAGGCCACTCAGGTAGAGAGAGAGGTGGGGCCTTTGATTGACACCCAACCCATCCAATAGGAGGAAGAGATATAGGACAAACCAAAGAGTCATAGAAACAGAGGTCCATGCAGTTTCTCTGTACTGCCTCTCCAAATTATTTAGGTCAGCAAGCTTTGGGTCAGACAATCCTAGGTTTGAAAATTGACCCCACCACTTCCCAAGTATGTTTCCTCAGGCAAGCTGCTTAAGCTCACTAAGCGTCAGCTTCCTTATTTGGTTAGTGGGAACAATGATAGTATCTGTATCAAACGCTAAGTGGTTAAAATTGGAAGAAAGTGAAGAACTGAACACAGTGCCGAGCACATAGTAAAGGCTCAATACATATTGGCAATTATTATAGGCCATTATTATAATCTGGCAACTCTAGAAATGACCAAGAAAGACAGAATGGACATCTGTGTTATTTTTCTAGTCTGTTTTTCAACCATAAGGAAGTTGCACACATTTCAAAAGATCCATCTCACCCACAAAATTGAAAATATCTGCTTATTCTTTCCCTGAACTGTCAGAACCGACTCTGGAAAAGTAAAACCATGGGTTCCTTTGCTTAGTTACATAAATGGATAACTATTGCGGGGGGAGGAGTATGGAAGAAAAGGAAAGCGAGCAAGCTGGGCTCTGGCATCATGCCTGTCCTGGAACCACTGACCCTGACCTCCGCCGCAGCGTTCCTCCCTCCACCCTGGCCAGCCTACGGACCACAGCCCCATCCTGCCTCCTTCCACCTGGTGGCCCCAGGAGAGCTGTAGTCATCAGCATTTTTCCTTTCATTCTTCTCTGTGGCAGTTCAAGAGGTTAAATCAATATGTTCAGATAGCCTCTGTCCTCCAAGGGGCAGGACGCTCTGACCTTCCTCGTATCCTGTGCACAGGGTGTGGGGCGAGGCACATCAATCAAGGGGGACTTTCGGATGGACTCCAGCCTGCGCGACTCTTGTTCTCCAGGGTAGTGGCCAAGAGGTTCAGCCTCTGGGGCCACACTGGCTGGGTTCAGATTTCAACTCTGCTGCTGACTGTGTGAACCTGGGTTAATTTCTTAACCTCTGGATAACCTCATAGAGTTGTGATGAAGATTAGATGAGTGAAGCTATGGAAAGCACTTAGAATGGTGGGGTGCATAATAAAAGTGTTAGCCATTACTATTACTGTGATCTTAAACTCTTGGAATTTAAAACACTGGTTCCCCTTGAGAGAGAGGTAGGAAGAGGCAGAGATCCTTATTGCCAGGCACCTTTTGTAAGGTTTATCCATGTTACTCTGTGTCATGGCAGGTCATTAATTTGTCACTGCTGTGTAGTATTCCACTGTAAGGCTATCCCACAGTGCCTTTTGTCTGTTCTGTTGTTGGTAGGCATTGGCACCTATGCTGTTTTAAGATACTGAAATATCAGTATTATTGTTTCAGCATACCACCATTTCTATATTTTAAAAAAATCTGAAATCAGAATTGTTTGTTGGGTTGTCGGAAAAGTCATGATGCATTTTTGCAACGAAAAACATAGAAAAATACATCATGACTTTTCTGACAACCCAATATATCATGTGGCACAAAGGGATATTTGTTGCATTAAACTTGTATCTGAACAGAAAAAAAAAAAAAAAGAATGATGGGCTGAATCGCCCTGTGGATGGTGTTAGGCCACTATGGGGAGACTGAAAGAGGTAGAAAATAGAGTTTTTTTTCTACAAGATACAATTAGGAACATAAGAGTCAAATAGAAATCTAAAACAACATTATGAAATATGTCTTCAGACAGTGGGATCGATTACCAGTGAGTGACTGGAGGTAAGAGCCAAGGGAAGTCATCACTTTGTATTGCAGGGGGAGTAGGGATTGAATCAGGCTTTGAAGAAAGGCAAGATTCAGAGATGGGAAGTGATTTCCAACTGCGTAATAGAATAAATGAAGACATAGAAAGTGGGTTTGGCTGTGAGGAAAGTTCCAAGAGTTTTTGTAGAATAATAGCGGTAGGAGAGCCTGGAACTTCATAGTGTGTTGTAGATGGAAGGAAAGAGTTTGGATAAAGCACGTTAGTCTACAGGGAGCAAAGGACAGGGAAATGACCTGCTGACAACATCATTCAAGGAGCTAGACCCCAGTGGCAGTAAGCAGGTGAAGTTTCGTGGGAAGATTGCAGAGAAAGAGGCCAGTTCACTCAGCACATATTCATAGAGGCCCTACTATGTGCCAGGGACTCACTGCTCCCAGGATTTGAACAGACAAGACCCCTGTTGGCAGGGAGCTTAATAAAATTTGGTGAGTTCCAGTGGATCCACTCGTGGAACACTGGTGGAGGCTGAAATGATTAGGTGTAAGGTTGTTGGGGAACAGGATATACATGTGGTCTTGAGCCTCACCAATTTGCTAATTAATAGCAAATTAATTACACCATTAATTAATGAGTGCCTTTCTGTTGGGAGACCTGGTGTTCACACTGTAACTAGGTGACTGGACCTAGTGTAACTGAGTTGGGATTTCCTGATGTGATGCCATTACAGGCAGACATTCTTAATAGAAGAACTTAAAACAGGATCTAATCATGGGGGAGCAATCTTACAAACCTAGGATATAGGACATTCTATAAGACAGCTGACCTGGGTGCACAGAAAACTAAATGTTATTAAAAACAAGCAAAAAAGGGGGTAGATTGTAGATTAAAGGAGAATAAAGCAGGATTGGCAAGCCCATGGGTTAATCTAGACCACTGCCTGTTTTGTAAATAAAGTTTTATTGGCACACAGCCACACACGTTCCTTTACATATTGTCTGAGGCTGTTTTATGCTGCTGTGATAGCGTTGAGTAGTTGTAACAGAAACTGTTACAAGCCTAAAATATTTACTAACTTCCTCTTTACAGAAAACTCCTGGCCCCTGGCTTAAGGCAATAGCATAACCAAATGCAATGCATGGACCTTGATTAGTTCATGGATTAGGGTGAAAAACGAACCATCAACAAACAATTTTGGAGCAACTGGAGACATTTAAATAAGGAGTGCAGATTAGATGATGTTACTGAATTCATAGCATTCTTAGGCATGACAATTGCGTTATGGTTGTGTTGTACAATGTCCTTCTTAGGTGTTGAATGCTGATATATTTAGGGGGTGTGTTATGATAGCTACAATATACTAGTAAGTGGTTCAGCCAAAAAGAAAAAAAAAAGGAAGAAAAAAGAGATAAAGCAAGTAATGTGACAACATTAATTGGCCAATCTAGGTGACGGGTCACTGTTCTTTCAATATTTCTGTAGTTTTAAAGATTTTCAAAATAAAAGTTAATTTAAAAAAACCCCAAAAACCTTAAACACAATTGGAGGGGTTAATTCAGGGACCACTTTCAGTAGCCCTGATATAATCTTCGTATAGGCCGTGGCCCGGCCTACTTATGACACTTTCTGGGCATTCTCTTCTCAGTCAGAGAAGACATTGGGGAGTTGGAGATGGGCTGCCTGTCACCTAAAGGGGCGCTGTCACTCGGGAAGGCAGCCCCAAAAGGGACTTCTTTTGTAACGCTGGGATTTTGCTTGTTGTCCCTTTTGCACAGTAATTCCATCAAGCTGGTGAATTTGCTATCCATATTTATCAGCACGTGGTTAACAGCAGCCGGATTCATCCATTTGGTAAGTGTTCCTGAAGATGATTGAACTCTGGCTTTCCTGGAGCAAGCCCCTCTCTGAGTCATTCTATTACCTGAATTTTTTCTCACCGTTGAGAAACTTCAGCCCCAGCTGAAGAATGTTGGAGAAGGAGAAGCAACCGCACAATTGTGTGGGTTTCCAACCATTTTACCCCAAACTGGTTCCCAATGGTGAGTAATGCTTGCATTATTATCCTGTGTTTTTCAACTCAGGAGCATTGATGGAAGTGGGGGCTTTGGGACATTTTCATTCTGTCTGCAATAACCTCAGTAATCCACAAGATGGCAGTGCTTCCTCAGCAAACGCCAAAAACATCCTGGGGACAAGGTTGGAAGTTTGACCCACATCTCTTCCTAAACCACAAATTCAGATCCCTCGATTTCTCTCCACTTTCCCCTTACAAAAAGCCACCTTTGATTGTTTTGCCTGATGACCTGTGAAGTTATTTTGTGTCTCAAAAATGTGAATTCTTTTATATTAGTGACGCTTTGAAAGCCTTCTATTAGGAAGTCAAGCTGTTCTCACCTCTCCAAGGCAGACTTTTTTCTTGCTTTGGGGGAACACTGCTATTACTGGAAGCGTGTTTCTTACAAACACAAACCGTTCCAACTGGAAGGAGCCTCATTTAACCCTGAAGCTTTGAGTAAAGATGCCCTTCCCTTGCTGAGCCGCTATGTGCATAAGAAGGAGAAGAACGCATTTAGTTCTGTCTACTGTACCATTGGGGTGTATGGACGTATGTAGTTATCCAAAGGAGCACAGCCCAGGTGAAAGCCCTGGCTCTCATTCAGTCACTAGACCTGATGGTTCCCCATCCCACCTCTCTGTGCTGATGGGATTGGATTCTTGGCTGAAATGAACCTTAGATCACCTCAACTTTGCTAAGTGCCAAAGTAACAGATGTGGAGGGGTTAGTTGTTTTCAATAGGCCAGTGACCTCACTTCACTACTATATGAAGTCCTTCTGCTTCACCAGGTAAACTCTTATGAAAATGGCACCTTGAGGACAAGTGCTGATGTGTGAAAGAGGCCAGGCCCAGGAAACTTCCTGCAGAGGCAGAGTTGGAGGCCTGGGGGCTGGTCCTCCGTACTGGCCATGCTGACGGGTCACAACATCGGTCATCCAGTGTATTACAGGGCTGGGATCTGGGATAGACCTGGAGGTCCAGCCCCCACCTCCCCCTCTCTCCTGAGAGTATCGAAAGTATCTCTATTGCCTGTCTCACAGCTTTGTTGACAGATCAAATACAATGGGAAGTCTGAAAGTGTGTTGTCACATTTAAAGCAGAGATGGGTAAGCTACAGCCCTGAGGCGAAAGGTCTCCCAATCTGGCCATGCCTCCTTAGTTAAAATATTGCCTGTGGCTGATTTCACCTATAAGTGCAGAGTTGAATTGTCCCTACCGAGATCAGAAACAGTACGGCCTGCAAAGCTGAAAATATTTACTATCTGGCCCTTTACAGAAAGAGCTAGCCCTCTGTCTAAAGGGTTATGTGAAAGCAAATTATTCTCATGAGCTCACTTTCTGTGCTTCTAGGGAAATTCCTGCAGTTTGCAGGGTAGAGCCAGTGGTGACATTCTGGAAAGCAGGGAGTCAGAGTCGGGTTCCGAGAGATGCTGTATGGCGTCTGGCACAAAACCTGAAGGGTGAAGGCCTACCAGGCATCTCCTTGGTCAAATGATGACAAGTGGAGGCACTCTGTGGAAAGGTCTAGAATTTCTTGGGAACCACATGAATTGGGCCTCCTGAGACTGAGCAGTAACTCACGGAGAAGGGTCAGAGCAGGGCCCTCTGGCTCTTTCCTTGAAGGGAATGCCTTAAAACGTGGCCAGAACGATGCCCTAAAACTTAGCTGGCTTCAGATCTTTAACAGTAAGAAGGAAAATGGCTTAGTGTTTACCTCCACCCCTCTCCCTCTCTGCCGCAGTCAGCTAAGAAGGCATGATTATGTAAGCGCCTTTCCACTTTCTCTGTCACCTGCTCAGCCCTCCCTTACAGAGCTCAGCCCAGGACAGCAAACACCTTGTGCCCAGGGAGCTGCGCTTCTGGAAGCAACCTGCTGGAGCTTTTGTGTTCTGGGTTTATTTTATATAGAGTGTAATATTTTCCTTTTCTCCCCTATCCCCTTGCTTTAGGTGGAGAATTCAGGGGACCCGTGGGAAAATTTCCAAAACAACCAGGCTCTTACATACTGGGAATGTGTCTATTTACTCATGGTCACCATGTCCACTGTTGGCTATGGGGATGTTTATGCAAAAACCACGCTTGGGCGTCTCTTCATGGTCTTCTTCATCCTCGGGGGACTGGTAAAAAACTCTTTATTATGATGTTGATTTTTATGGTCATTAATATTTTCCATTATCCGTTTCCTGAAAGCTTTGTATTTTGATAGCGTGTGTCCGCCTTAGAAGCAAGCGGTTGCCTTAGTATTACAGTCAGGCTAAGTAAGTGGCAAGCTTGAGGGTGACTTTTCTGCATATTTCTTTGGTGTATCAGACTTGTTTCCCGGAGACCCAGGAATGTTGCCCTTGTCAGGGACAGCCATTTAGCCAGGAGCTAACCTGTTTTTAGAAAGTGATGCTCACTTATTAAGTGACAGTGTCTGTCCCTTGGTAATGTAATTCAGCACCTGATGTCCTGCAAGGACAGTTGCTGTCACCTGACCCTGGGAGATGCTGTCGATACTCTGTAGACAGTTTGCGGTTTCAAGAGCTCCCCTGCCCCTTCATGGTCCTCCCCAAACTTCCAACAAACACTGTGGCTGGGGCTTGCCCTAAAGAATAGCATCCCCACATCAAAGGATAGAGAGGCCGCTGGCCTCGCCCAGGTGGACATCATCACACGAGCTGTGTGTTGGTTTTATAAATAGCCAACTGACTCCATTCTGTGTGACACCTGGGATAGTTTCTCTCCCCCTTTATAAGTCAGAAAGTTTTGCTATTTGCTTTCCTGGTCCATGCAGATGCTAACAGTTGGTTATGATGTCATTTTCTAAGGGCACGTCTGGCAACAAATTGGCAGTTGCTGCATTTCGTCTTTCAAAGTAGCTCACTTTAAGTTTAGATTTTTGCTGTGTATGATGTAAGTGATTAAAATCCTGCTTTACACACAGCCTCCACATATGTACACTGCACACACATTTACATTATGCATACACATCTCTCTGTGTTGTATGCATATGACATATACATTGACAAAAATGTATATAAATGTACATGTGCGTGTGTACATTAATGCAAGTGTTTCCATAGCATCTGCAAGGTCTCTGTAGGTAACAGGACCCACGTATCCAGCCACAAGCACAATGTTTGTTGGACAAAACATGGCAGATGTGTGTTTCTCCTCGCTATCCTTTCTTCCCATGTGATTTCCTAAGTTTACCTTGTGTGCTTTTTTAGTGATTTTTTTTTTTTAGAGGAAAAGTTTGTATTTTTACAAAAATTTTTTGGTATTTATTGTCTTTAATCACTGATAAAGGCATTGATTCTCCTTTGAATTTTAACTAGAAAGAAAAGTCTTTTCTTGCAATAATGTGTGTGTGTGTGCATGTGTGGTGCATGTGTGTGAGTGTGTGTATGTGCATGTCTGTGTGCGTGTGTGTATATGTATGTGCGTGTGTGTATATGTGCGTGTGTGCGTGCGCGCGCGCGTGTGTGTGTGTGTGTGTGTGTGTGTGTGTGTGTGTGTGTGAGTAATTTCCCCAGCATGCATCCCCTTTACTTATTTCTCTTCAGGAAGTAGAGCTAGATATCAACTTATTTATTCCTGTCTCCTTCGTATTTTTCTCGACTGTGATTTTTTGGTTTTTATGTTTTAGCTGTCTAGGTTGGCTCATGTTTGTTTTGTCCTGTGTATTCTCAGGAGCTTGCCCTTTTTGTGCTTTAATTTTTAAAATTTTTTTTTATAATCCAACATATTAGTATATACCTCCGCAGTTCTAATCCTTTTGTGTTTTCAGATCTTAGCATCCCCCCCTTCTGAAAAGGTCACCCCCTTTCTTTGGCCTGTCTTTTTAGTATCTCTTCTGTCTCCTGTCTTCTCCTCAGGCCATGTTTGCCAGCTACGTCCCTGAAATCATAGAGTTAATAGGAAACCGCAAGAAATACGGGGGCTCCTATAGTGCGGTTAGTGGAAGAAAGTAAGTATGCCAAGAGGTTTTGCTGCCTGCGCTGCGGTAGAATCCTCTCTGCATGCCATTTTTTTTTTTGGCTCTTGTTTCTTTGTTTCATGCATGTAGGCAATGTTTGCCCGCTACGTGCCCGAAATTGCTGCTCTCATCCTGAATCGGAATAAATTCGGCGGGACTTTTAACAAACATGGAGGCAGAAAGTAAGTCAGTTGCATCAGAAAAGATGTGGTTGAGTGGCTTCCAAGAGTCCCTATGGCACCGGAACCCTGCCCCTCCCCCACCGCACCCGGTGCTGCCGTGAGGGAAGGGCCACGTTTTGTATGGGGTGTGATGTCAGAGGTTGCCCAGCTTGTCACATGTGGACAAACTACCGAAGCCTGTTCCCAATTCACAGCTTTCTTCCCCATCCATCTTTCCAAGAAACGTACTGGACGTATCCTGGAAGGGGTCCATATATACCTGGGCCCACATTTTCTGTGTTGGTTACTAACAGTTGGTTGTTTTATATAAAACAAGCTCATTCGTTCTTCACACTGCCCGGCTTAGCGATTACACTGGTCCCTCAGGCTAAGATGACGCCATCCTATGGGGTTTTGTGCAGCAATAACATGGGCACATATGCCAGCAGGGAAGTCTTGGCAAAGGCTAGATCAAAGTCACCTTGTCTACTGTAAGGCATTGTGGCCACCAGGGAACCAGTTCTCTTTAGCCAGGAGGCATGGAACTTGTCCTCAGAGGGACTCATTACTCAGTTGAAATTCTTTTTGGGCAAGAAATATTATATTTATGGGGTGTCAGGGCATGACACACTATTCTGATCAGCCTTTTGTTTGGTTTCAAATACATGAGCGTGCTCTACTTGGGGACTATTTCAATCTGTGCTCAGGTGACTTTATCAGTATCAATATCAATATGCAGGTCCATTATCAACAAGAAGTTCTACTCCGATGTAAATGGCAGGACCTTACCACCCCATGTCGAGGGAGGTGGGGCTGGCAACAGCCATCTTTTACTCTCTTTAAAAAGCTTTTTCTTGGGCACTCAGCTTTGTTTATTTGTTCTTGAGGTTTTGGGGGTTTTTTGTCTTGTTTTGTTTTTGAGTTGTTGTTTCTGTTTTAACTTCCATAGAGTGAGATGTACACCTTAATGTACAGCTTGAGGAATTTGTACGTACGAGCACACCCTGTTACTCCCACCCAGATCTAGATGCAGAATATTTTCACCACTCATGCCCCTTCCCAGTCATGGAAGTTCTATCATGGAACTAGGTTTTATTGTTGTTGTTGTTGTTGAATTCACTTTCCGATGAACTCTTCCCTAGCCTATTTTGTTTTTTAAGAGAAAATCAAACCGGTACCCGTCACATTTCCCTCCATCATTGCCTCCTCCTTTCCTAACGGTCATGTTGGATGGAGCAAAGCTCTTCTCTTGTGGTGATTCCAGTATACCCTGAGCTCAGGTGTCCAGTCCTCCCTTCAGAAAATGAGGAGGTGGGGAAAAAGGCTCATTTTCTTGAACTACCCACAGGACACCCGTTTGCTTTCAAAGGAACAAAGGACAGTGGGTGAGAGGAGGCCAGTTGGCTCTTTTCCGGGGAGGCAGTGCATTCCTCCACCTTCCCTCTAATGGAGCCCTCCTCTTCCTATTATCTTAACAGCCCTGGATGAGATTAGAACCAAGCTGTTCTGATTTCTGGGCCACTGATTGGATCCAAAAGGCCAAATATATCCAGAGATCCCCATTGGTCATTTGTTCCATGCCAAGAGGAAAACAGCTTCTCTGTCCACTTTGCCTCTAAGGTGTGGACAGGCTGCCATAAAGCAGAAGGCATGCTGAGGGCTGGGGCTCTCTTCCCAGCCTCCCCCACCCCCCCACTGTCCCAGCCAGCATTTCCTTATTGCTGTCCCGAAGGAGTCCATCAAATCAATTGCCCTGAAGTCTGTTGAAAATATTTCTTGACTCTTACTCCAGGTAAATACTTTCCCTAGTCAAATGCTGGGTGGGCCTGGTGGCTGGCAGCTTTGGTTGATGGGTGACTCAGAAGAGGCCCTCAGACCCGTGCTCACTCTCCAGCCTGGTCTGATCCGGGCCATCATTTTGCCTTGGCGCTTCCACTCAAGCCCCCTCGTGGTAATGACTTCAGATCATAGACTTCCCGCAGCTTTCCTGCCTCCATCTCTATAACCTTTTATCACTGCTTTTAGCCTGGTTTTTTTTTTTTCCTCTCTCTCTTTTTTCCTTCTCCTTTTATGAAAATGCACACTTTTCTTTTAATGTTCTCCTTGGGTCTCCAATGTCCCTCTCCCCCCCAACCTGGGGGACAGAGAGTAGGTTCTGTCATCAACACTGGGACTGTTCACTTTACTTTACGCATTGTTTCCTGGTTCAAAAGCTAATTACTAAGTAGTTTAAAGAAGCCCTTTGGTCACTTAGATCTTTCATCAGAAAATATAAGCTTGGGAAAGGAACGGTAATAAAGGGCCATTAGCACCCTTTGTTTGATGTTGTTTTTCCAGTCAGTAGAACAAGATTGATGAAATGTTATGTTTGGCCAAAATTTGAGTTTTCATTTGGAATTCAGTGTTGAGAGAATGGGCTGTCAGAATCAATAAGTTTTCTTGCGCTTGGGATACGGGCATGTGGTAGTAATTAGCAATATAAGGTCTTGAGTTGAGCAACCAAGCATGGATTCTGGCAGCAAACATAATGAGAAACTACAGTTGTTCTATTTCTAACGTCAAAAAGTTTCCAGATAAAATTAAATGCATTTGCAAAAGGAAAGCAGCTAAACTTTGTTGAAAGATAGAGTTCAGGCTCTTAAAATAGCACGCTTCGCCCCGTGTTTTTGTGTATGCATAAATATATGTGCTATACTCGCGGACACATATACATATATGCTGCTCCCTAGGATTTAATCAAATGAATGCCCAGAAAGTAATTAAAACATATACATAGCTAAGGGATTTGTTTATGTGTGCATATTTCACTCAGAAATAACCTCCCTAACAATGCATTAACTTGTCAGAGAACTCAAGGTAACCTGTGACCCAAAGCTACGGAAACACACAACTTTGAAATCCAAAGATGATTTAAAGTTTAAAAAAAAAAAATTAGGCAGAGAAACTCAGGGTTTTGTTTATGCAACACCTAACTTCAGGATGTTGGAGAATGGAGATTTTGTTTTGTTGGCACCTCACTTTCAGTTTTAATCTATGTGTTTGGCATAATATAAACATTTCACATTGTGTCCTCAGATTATCTTCACCATCGTCACGGCATCAAGGGTCTACGTGGCTTACTCCAACGCTTTCATCACTATTCCACACCTGACCTCCCATAAGACATCCAGAGTCTATAGTGCACCCAGTGGTGCACTGCGTCCTTGTGCGTGTATGAGTGTCAGCTGTTCTTTATTTTATGATTTACTAGGGCTCCTAAGAATAGGGACTTGGGTGTCAACAACCAAGGGTTGAATGAATGGCCAAACCAGGTAGTCTTTCTAATTTAGAGGTCTTGGGGACAATTAGTCTCTGGGGCTGAGTCCCCTAATCTTATTCAAAAGAGTACTTCCCCTGTAGCCCCGACTACCTCAGGAGGACACTGCCCCTTCCTCCTTCCTTTCATGTAATGTCAGAACTGCTCAGGGGTACGGAAGTGGAGGGGTGAGCCTCCCATGGCCTTTGGAACCCTAGCTTGCTCCTCTTCCTCCCACACTCCTGCCGTTTTCCCCAGAGGTTTCCTCTCTGCATGTGACTCAGCCCATTCCTGGTTAGTTTATGAGAACTGACAAGATCATGGTCCGAGGTCACATGGCCAAGGGCCATGGAAAATAATCAGCCACAGAGAGGAATCCATCAGCTCTAACCCGCTTGCTAGAGGCGGCCTGGGTACGGAGCCCTCCAGACCTTGTATTTCCCATGCTTCTGGGACCCAAAACCAAGGCAGTCCCAGGCCAGGTATTTGGGACAGGGGAGAATGGGATGAGTTTGGATTATGCTCCTAATTTCTGGTAGCCAAATACTGAGAAGACACAAACAGAAGAACGAATAATGAGACAAAGTGTAAGCAGAGGGAGACAGGCAAGTGAATGTGATTGTACTTAGAGGACATGTCCCTGACTGGATGAGGAGGTGGGATGAGGAGGTCCCTCTTCTGGTTGAGGGAACAGTTATCATACAAACGAATCAGCTCAAGCTCTAGTTCTGGAAAGCTGTCTGGGAAACTTAAGTGCTATGGCTTCCTTACGTAGGCAGAGGAGTGCCACATACTTCTGGAAGTGAGAATGTGAATCAATATAGCCAAAGCCCTAGGACTCCTCTCTGACGATAATATTAACTAAAAATACTTGCATATTCCTCAATTCTCACAGACACCTTCCGAAGAAGTTATTATCCTCATCTCCATCTGCGGTGGGTGGGGAAACTGAGGAACAGAGAGGTTAAGTGACTTGCTTAATATCACACAGGTAGTACAGGGTAGATGTGATTTGAGCCCTGGGGGCAGTCTACTCCAGTGGGTGATGTTGCTTCTCTAGAGCACCTGTTAACACCCCTTTCTGCTCGAAACTCAGTGATCCTATTATATGTTTTCCTCCTCCTCTACCTTAAAGTGGGGCCAGAACACTGCATGTGATGGAGAGGAAGAGAAATGCAGGAGTATCACTTTGGGCCTGTCTTCTCATTCTGTTCATTTCTTGCCTCTAAGGATCCTGGCCCAGAGTCAATGACAAAAAAGTGGAGAGGGGACAAAACCATTTCTTCCTTAATTTTTGTCATTTACTTCAATGCGCAATGTATTTACCTCTTGAACATTTCCAACAATGAGAGGGGCTCTCAAGGATGGACACATGGACCTTTGACCAAAGACCAAAATGAGATTTGTGTGTTATTTGTGGGTTTCAACATTCCCACCCCTTCCTGGCGCCATCTTTTCTGAGGAGTTCATTTCCTAGTTTACCAGCCATGGTGAATGGTAGTGACCTGCAGATTTGGACTCCCTCCTGGGAAGCT